AGAGGAAAGGAGAGAGAGATAGAAACATCAATGATGAGAATCATTGATTGGCTGCCTCCTGCACATCCCCTATTGGGGATCGAGCCTGCAACCCAAGCATGTGCCCTGACTGGGAATCAAACCATGACCTCCTGGTTCATAGGTCAATGCTCAACCACTGATCCACACCGGCGGGGCTAACATGACAATTACTTGATGATCATCTGAACAATAGCAGTAGCCAGTCCACAAGGCAAAGATGGACATAAGACCAGAAGTGAGAGACAATTCTATTGATCGAATGGACAATATCATAAGGATGGAATGAGAAAGTCGCTGTAGTTGCAAGAAAATGCTCCCTAGGAGTCCGATATTTCATATGAATGCAATGCTGCCACATTGTAAAAGCACAATTGATTGAGAAAATTTCCTCTCCATCAATCTTTTCAAGAGATTTGACACGGAAGCAAGAGATGAGCAAAAGGAAAATGGAACTTAGTGGCAATGTTCAGCAAACCCATCTTTAAAAGAAAAGATAAGAAACACACACACACACCAGGTAATCTGACTTCAGAAAGATTCACCACAGTAAGTACTATAAGGATGTAATCTGTTGCAACACTGTTGTAACAGGAAGTGGTTGAAACAACTTACACGTCTATACCAAAAAGTCAGGAATAATTCAAACTGTTCGGAGTGTTTACCTTTAGGTGGTAAGCATCAGGAGAGAAAAAGAATAGGAGGGGCGTGATGAGAATTTTCACTTTTTAGTTGTATAATCCCTTCTGGACTGGTAGTTTTTTGTTTGTACAATTTTAATTTAAACTGACAACTACATATTAGTTATTGTGATATATATGTTTGTACATATGCATTATATATATGCATATACCTCTGGCACCTGGGACCCAGGCTTCCCTCATAGAGGGAGGCCCGGTCCACCTGCCACAGCCCACCGTTTGGTGGCCTGGGCCTCCCTCTGCAGGGTGATCATGGGGCGATGGCCGGGCCCCTGACCAATTGCATCGCATCTGCCTTGGCTGGCCTGACACCAGTGGGTATCATAGCGTGGTGGTCGTCCGGGAGGTCATCTGGAGGGTTGCCCGGTCTAATTAGCATATTTTGCTTTTATTATTATAGACATATATAGCCAGTATACCAGCATATGCTTTTAAAAAGCCCTTGCAGTTTATGATTGCTGCTTGTGTTTTAAGAACCTAAAGCCCAGAAGAACTTTTAGATGGTTTAGAGGGCTATCTACTTCTCACAGCTGCTTAACAGTGTTAGTGTCCTGTGACCTGAGGCCAAGGAACCAAAGCTCCATCCTTCTCCTCCCACTGGGTGTGATGCTGCAGGAAACACTTCCGTGTACTATGACCAGGAGAGGTGTGAGGGAGAAGCTCCCCTTCAGAGTTCCAGGCTCCTCTCCTTGAGGTTTCTTCTAATCTAATGGCAGACTTGTTACCCCACTGCCACGAGGTCACCCTGGCCATGATGTCACCCTGGCCATGTGTATTAAATCACCGACTTATTATAAAAGGACAGGGCAAGATATGTGGGAAGGAGTGTGGAGCCTCCATGCCCTTTCTGGGCACACCTCTCCCCCATATGTCTACCAACCCAGAAACTCCAGTTGTGTTTATACATACATACATTATTTTTCATTTAAAATTTTTGAATATTATATTATTTGCAATTTAAAAATAAAAAACCTGTCATGTTGGGGGGAATCATGAAGTCTTATAGCTGAGAGAGGCCTCAGAGGTCTGTCCCATCTAATCTCCTCTAGGCTCAGCTTCACAGTCTGGCTGTCTGCATGGGACTCAAGGGAGAATGGGCACCTCTGGCTCACAGGCCATTAGGGAACCCAGGGCACCCCAAGAATGTGAAAAATCAAATAAGCTTTGTGCTTTTCAGAATCTACTCCTGCGCTGCTAAATATCAATGCCATCCACACAACAGGGACTCCAGTAGCCCCCAAATGCTCCTGGTTCACACGAGGTCCTGAGAAGTTCGGTAGTCAGCCTCAGAGGGGTTTGAACCCAAAAGACTGAGGTCAACTCTAAACCAGTTGGCTGTCTGTGCAGCATATTCCCAACCCAGTGTCTACACGGATGGCATCACCACAAGCAGCCCACTATGGCCATTCTTCCTGCCATCTTAGGTGTGAGAAGAACTGCTTCTGGCCTTGATCTTGCTGTTTTATGTATTCAACAGAGAAAATTTTTCCACTTTTCAGTTAACACAAGGGCTTTCTTTGGTGCCGCCTTGATCTTCTATTCGGACTTTTTACATCTTACTCTTCCCATTCTACCCCACAACACACCATGAAACACATCTGCTTTTGCCCCTGGCCCCTCTGATGGACCAGGGGGTAAGTACACTCAGTTCTTTCAGAACTTACTGTTAGCTGATTTTACACAGTGCTCAAAATTGGGAGGCACATGTGGAAAGGGTCAGCCATCAGCAGGGTTTTAAACCACTGGAATAAATGGAAAGCAAGAAAAATGTCATATTCATTACTATATCTGCTCTAGCATGTCAGCATATATACCAGCATAGCTTCTGAGAGCAGGTATTCAATACATGGCACTGTAAAATGATAGAATCTAAAGCCAGAAGGAACCTCAAGGAGATCAGTCCCATCATCCCACAGCTGAGAAATTTGAGACCCAACTGGATAAAACTGGGTCCTCAGATATTTAGTTTACAGCCGCCATAGTCCATGTTCCCACTCTGAGTTCACAGTTGTTTTTTCTCTCAGGTTGCTTGTCAGATGAATGAATGAATGAATGAATGAATGAATGACTTTACCACTGGGTTTGTACAACCAAAGGAGACTGGAAAAGAAACTAGAGTTAATGTAGTAAATGTAATTGTTTGGATAGATTATATTTGCCCAATTTAAATGAAGTTTTCCACTTTCAATTGAATGTTTATAGCCTTAGACATGTTTTTAGTCATTTCAAATTGTTGACAAAATAACAAGTCAAATTTTAGTATAGTGTTAAACTCTAATTCTTTTATAATCTATACAATGTGCCTCAAATAATGACATCACCAGGTTGAACCCAATATGTGTTTACATGTCTTTACATATCAGTGGCAAATGATACAAACTTTTCAGGTTATGTCTCTATTATGTAATAGCTTCAAGGGAAAAATTTTTATCTTAATACAAGTCAATAAACTCTGATATAACATGACTACATGATATTTACTAACCAGATTCTCAAGACACATTGTCCTTTAAGAATTCAACTTTTGCTCTCAAATTTTTTATTATTATTGACTAGAGGCTCAATGCACAAAATTTATGCACTGAGGGAAGGGGGGGTCCCTCAGCCCAGCCTGCACCCTCTCACAGTTCAGGACTCCTTTCTCCTTACCGCCTGCCTGCAGCGGAGGCCGGATAGGCTCCCACCACTGCCACTGCACTCACCAGCTGTGAGCCTGGCTTCTGGCTGAGTGGTGCTCCCCCTATGGGAGCGCACTGACCACCAGGGGACAGCTCCTGCGTTGAGCATCTGTCCCCTGGTGGTCAGTGTGCGTCATAGCAACTGGTCTTTGCACCATTCGGTCGATTTGCAAATTAGGGTTTTATTATATAGGATTTTAGAGGAAGAGATTTTTTTTATTATTATTAATTTGAGAGAGAGAGAGAGAGAGAGAGAGAGAGAGAACGCAACATTGATTTGTTGTTCCACTTATTTATGCATTCATAAATACGTTGGTGTATCAGGACGACACTCTAACCAACTAAGCTGGCCAAGGCCCCCAAATTTCTTTCAACAAAACAACCATTTGGCAACTTTGAGTTTCATTTCTTTCATTTCTTGCTTATACTCACAGGAAGAAGTTTGAGAAGAGAAATGAGGAGATAAAATATACAAAAGAAAAGAGAAAGGCATAGATTAACCAGAAACTGGAAGAGAGAAGCAGTCAGGTTCCTGGAGGAAGAGAGAAAGGTGCTGAGGCGTGGTCAGGAAAACTGGGCCCATCAAGACTCCCTCTCTGTGCCCTCCCCTCTCACTCTCACCCTCCTGCCCTTACCAAAGATCGTGGACAAAGTGACAAAAAGCTTTTAAACTCAGATTCACTAGTAGACACATCAATCCAGCCAAAACCGGAATCATTTCACAATGCCTGGGAGAGTGCCGTCACACCAGCCACTCCTGTCCCCTTCCACTGCAATTACATGTCATAGAATAATGACCTTTTGGAATTACAATGGGCCTTTTAAAGATGATCTAGTCTAAAATCTTCATACCCATTTTGCAGAAAGAAAACTGACATCCAGATAAAGTGGGTCACTTGCCCAAGGTCATTCAAAGAGACCAAACTACAAATAGATCCCCAACCTGCAGGCGTGGTTGGCCATGGCTCTTTCCCCTGTGTGCAACCTAAGAGCTACAGAACATACAAAAAACATCCCAACTTTGGAGAGATGAACAATTACAAAGAGGCACAAAATAACGGGAAAACAAACTAATCCAAAATAACAGCTTCCCCCCACCTCCTTGGCCAGTGACAAGCTGCGAGGGGCTGTTTTACAGAGTCATGGTACCCCGGACAATTAAACTGCACTTTTTCCTCCTTTACCCATTTCTCACTGGCACGGACTATTAAAAAAGTGCATAGTACTCTTACTTTGAACCAACACAGACCTTTTTTGATATCTGAAATTTGGGGATTAACAAATACATTTTTTCCCTCCAAGGGCTTACAGAAAGTACCTTATTAAGAGGTCACTCAATGAACCGAAAAGCCCTGGGGGAAATTAAATGCCTTCCACGGGAATCGGTCCCCTCCCCTGACCTGCCCAGGTAAACCAACTCCAGCTAAAGCCAGAGATTTGGTTTTATCAGTCGCCTAAACGCAGAGTTGGAAAGAACTTGCGTTTCTTTCACAGCTGAGAAATTTGAAACCCAGCTGGCTAACATTGGGTCATCAGATTATAGCAGCCAGAACACGAACATTCCGAAACAGGACTTGAGAAAAGGAAGAAAACTTTGTCTTACCCTTAAAAATAACAGAAACAATAGGATCCGGTTTCCCAAATTTCGTTTTAGGGATATTGACGGCAGATTCCACAATCACGCGAAGCATGGCTCTGAATGGGGTGAAAGCAAGTTTCCGCAAACGAGATTTGCAGCCACGGACGCTGGCGCTCCGGGCAGCACCGCCCAGCGAGAGAGGCTGGGGAGGACCTCAGAGGGAGGGAAGGGGAAGGCGAAGGCGATGGGTGGATCTCCGAGGGACTGTTTACTGAAGGCTCCTGTAAACTGATATCCAAGTCCCAGGTCCTCCTCTGTGCCCCAGGCACCACTTATAAATTCGGGAAATGTGGAAGTGAGAAGGACCAAACCCCGGCTAAAAATAGTTATGTGTAACAATTGAAACTGAAATGGATTTAGAGCTAATAATCTGGGCAGGTTAGGAGACCTCTAAGTCACAATTCGTGAAACCACATCAATTGGTTTTCTGCCACTGCTTCTATTCTTTTCTGAGCTTCATGAAGCTTTAAAACGTTACTTAATCATTTAAAAAAAATTTTTTTTTACTTTTGCTGTTTCTTCTCTCATACTGTGGAACACACCCATTCAGCAACTTATAGGGAAAAAATGTTTAAAATCCGTTAAAGGGTGCCCCCTGCTGTATAGCAGAGGAATAACCGAGTTTAGTTCAAGCCAGCCCAATCTGGAGGCAGTAATAACGGGTTTACAAAATTGGCTGATCCTTGGCTTTCCAAAAGGATTCACCATAGTATTTCTTTAAAAATCCTTAAGTGGTAAGAGCGGGGTACCTACGTGTTCATGGTCCATCAAATGCTGCTAACAGTCTTCAATAAAAATGAGAAAACGGCTCTCCACTCTCACAGGACCTAAACCTGAGAGACCTTTCCTTTGTTAAAGAAAAATATATATGGTCAATGACACTTGTTAAAGCCTGGTCAGAACGACTGTATTCAAGGTCAGGGGGGCTACTGAAATAGGTATAGGGACCACTGCGATGGAATTTTGCAGCTGAGGGGAGAGGTTGGGTTCAACTCCAGATAGAGCGGAAGCAAGTGGGGATGTAAGAAGCAGAATGAGGGACAGTGGATGGAAATTTACTTTAAGGAAACACCAGGGAGAAGGGATTCTGGCTAAACCGACCTAACAGGTTTTTTGCTGAACACAGGTCAAGGTGACTAGAAATCCCCTTGGGGATGGGAGAGGATGAGAAGTCACCAGGTAGTGAAGGTGTTCAGATGTGGCGGGTGTATATGTGGGCCTGGGATGTTCTGGTTAAACTGACTTAGTAGGGTTCTTGCTAAAACTAAATTTTACAAGGAAGTGCAAATGGGCCTAGGGGAAGGTTCAGGAGCTGGCTAAAGTTTGGTCAAGCAAAGAATCTTTGTCACCTGGAGAGCATGCTGGGCAGCGTGCCTAGTGATCAAGGCCTGGGGTTAGTAGTCAGCCAGGCCTGAGTATAGGTCCTCTTACACCATTTTTGAGATATGTGGATGTTCACATTTCTTTATTTTTAATTTTTATTTTTATTGATTTCAGAAAGGAAGGGAGAGGGAGGAGGGGGAGAGAGAGATGGAAACATCAATGATGAGAGAGAGAATCATTGATCAGCTGCTTCCTGCACGCCCCCACACTGGGGATTGAGCCTGCAACTCGGGCATGTGCCCTGACCAGGAATCGAATTGTGACCTCCTGATTCATAGGTCAATGCTCAACCACTGAGCCATGCCGGCCGGGCAGTGTTCACATTTCTTAACCTCTCATTTCTGCAGTTATCTCATCCGTCCTCCTGCAGAGGCCTGGAAACCACATTCATTACCAAGACAATCAGGTTTTACATGTAAATCTATAAGATTCTAACAAACACTGTAAGAAAAACACTTAAGAAAAACTATTTCCTTTTAGGAAAATTATGGAAGAGTACGAGTTAGAGATAGGAGTAAATCAACACAGTGATCAGCCATTTATTCATCACAAATGTGTTTGTTCGATAAACACTTGAGAGTCTGGAAGTACCATGTGTTGGGTGTTGGGGCTTCAGCAGAAAATAAGCCAAAGTTCTGACCTGCTAGAACACCCCGGCTGGTGGGGACCACATGCTAGGTCTCACCTGTCTATCAGGCACTGCTTTCAACAACTCCGGGAGCTAGAACTCCTGGCTTCGTCTTTCCAGCTGACAAAGTTTAGGCTCAAAAGAGTTCAAAACTTGAACCAGAATTCAAATCCACTGTCTGCTGAGCCCTACTCCCTTTCAACTTCACCTCAGCCGAGATCTCATACTTTGCTGTTTCATGATTCCTCACATTTTGTCAATTAAACTCATGCATTAATGTAAGTGAGTGGCCTTAGGCCTGTCCTGCAGCTTTGAGGCAAAAGGGACAGAGAAAGAGAAACATTTAGAGGAGAGGAGGGGTGTGGCAAAAAATCTAGACATGTGGACACAGTAATTGAGGTAGCAAACGGGATTTAGCAGAAAAGAAATGAAGATAGATTCATAATATGTTATTTCACTTCTAATTTTACAGAATCTTAGCTATTATTTAACAGCAACATTCAAACTGGCATACACAGAGGGTCCATTGTTAAGATCTGTTTGCTGAAATACTGCTTTAAAGAATTACTTTGGTTGATAACTAAAATGCTTTTGAGAACTAAAAAATTAGTTTTAGTAGCTTAATTATAGGGTTTTACATAGTGGTAGGTGCTATTTTGAAATAACTTAATATATAGTATATTTAAATTTCATCCCTTTAAAAAACTGCCTGGTGGTGACTAAGTCTACATGGGGGGCAGGAAGGGCGAAAGTATTTTATAATATTTGGCATCATCACAGTGTCATTATTTGAAATAATTGAAAGAGCAATATAACATAGGAATGAATCTGACCTTCTCCAAGTAAGTATTAACGTATTTTCTAAAATACAGCTAGAAAAAAATGAAACAGGAAAAGTTAGAATCATTTTAAGCCTTGTGTTTACTTTTAATTCCTCATCAAAATGTTTGATAGGTAAGTGTAAGGGTCTTCATTCATTCATGCACACATGCATCTCTTCAGCAAACACTTATTGAAAGTCTACTTGGTTCCAGGCCCAATACTAACTACCAAGGTGATTAAAATACATTTCCTCTCTGCAAGAAGCTCACAGATAGTTACAGCATAATGAGTGAGTATAATGATAGGAGACAAAGAAGACAGGGCAGGGGTGGGCAGGCAGGGAAGGCTCCTGAAGGAGGTGACAGCTAGACTGAGTATTAATGGTTGGATTGATGCGTGCATGTGTGTGTGTTGGGGTGTGTGTGTGTGTGTGTGTGTGAGATCTGAGTACAGGTCTTTTACCTCCTTAGTTAAGTTTATTCCTAGATATCTTAATTTTTTTGGTGCAATGGTAGGTAAATGGGATTTTTTTTTTTTTTTTTAGTTTCTCTTTCTCTGAGTTCATTACTGGTGTATTTAAAAAAAGCCATTGATTTCTGGGTGTTAATTTTGTGTGTGTGTGTGATCTGAGATAGAGTTAAACAAACACACATGGTGATCGTGGGGGAAATTCAAGACATTTGATTTTGGTGAACTAGCATGTGTGAGGTGAAAGAGTCGATCAGTGACCCTAGGCAGACACCAGCCCAGAGAACCCAACAACTAACATCCACTGAGTGCTCACTACATGCCAGATGCTATTCGTCTCATTTAATTCTTCCACTGTCCTATCCTATGAAGTAAGCACTATTTTTTTTATCCCCATATTACAGATGAAATAACTGAGGCATAGTTTGGTCAAGCAGCTTGCCAAAGCGGAGCCAGGATCTGAGCATAGGCGGTCTAGAGTCCATCCTCTTCACGCCTGACACCATGCCCCACTGGCAGTGGGGACTTAGTGGAGACGCATTTTTCATCAGGGTAGCAGAATGACTGAATTGTATACAATACTCTGAATACAAAGAAAACATTGGTGGATGAAAAGGGACTCTCTAATAAATCTAACCAGAAGTCATCTCACAAGGTGATCTGATCATAAATTCCTAACAGGACAGGTCATGGTGCGCAGTCATGCTTCAGGCCTATAACTTCCCTGGGAGAAGGTTATCTTTGCTTTATGCAAGCACTCCGTTGTTTTGTTTTGTTTCGTTTTGTATGTAGGATAAAGCACCTTTGAAAATGCCCCCTTTTATAGACCCCTCAGAAGCTGAACCACCTTCAACACAGCATATAATCTTAATTATCATATAGTCCAATCAGAGATTTCCCCATCTTGCTTTCCAATCTTCATTCCCTACTTAATTCAAAATATATAAAAGAAACTGCCAACTGTCATTCTGGAAAACAGTTTTCTCAGTCTGTTGAGATCCTGCTTCCAGGCCTGTTTGGCTCAAATAAACTCTTATAAAAATTTTCTATGGGTTTGGATGTTCTTACAGTGACAATTTTAATAAACCCACAGACTTAAAATTAAATTTTAAAAGGAGCTAAAACAGGCAGAGCAGTGAGTGTCCAGAGAGCCACTCCCTCCAAATAGAATGCACCCTGAACCGAGAACCAAGGCAGAGGGTATCACTGACTGGCTAGGTGAATAGGAATTCTCCCATATGAGATTAGTCAGCGGGAGGAAAGACCTGGCCTGCTTGGCTCTTACATTTCTCTCTGTAAACGAATGAAGATAAATTGTGAATCTTGTCCTAGGATTCCTCTGAGTGAACTGTCAGCATCAAAGTACTATCAACTTGAGAGGTCTTGTGCAAACTGCCACCTCTTCCCCCTTTATGCCCCAGAGCACCTATCTGCGAAGAGCAAACATTGATTTCCAGGTCTAATACTGACAACTGAACAAGCTACCAGGCCAGTGAGTCTCTGGTGCCTGCCCCTCTTCCTCAGGGGCCCCTAGTCACATGTGTTGACTTAAGAAACTTCCAAATCTGTAGAGAATTTTTATAAAAGTTGATTTGAGCGAACTGACCACGTGGTTGGGAAACAAGATCTCAAATGCTCTGGAAAATGATAGTTTTGCAGTTGCATTTATACATTTAGAATTAAAGAAGGGTCATAAGGAAGATTACATGAAGGTGGGAGAAAGCAGGGTACAGGATCGCTAACAAGATTATGTGCTCTGGAAGGTGGTTGTGACTTATGCATGACTTATGATTAACATCTAAATGCACAAGGACAATGGCAGGGTTTGCTTAAGGCAAAAATAAACCTTTAACTAAAGAAGTTATATGTATGCACTGTGACTACCCACCATGACCTGCTCAGTTAGGAATTTATGATCAGATCACCCTGTGAGGTTACTTATCAAGTTTA